TACCCCTGAGCCACACCTGGGCACAGCTGCCCAGGTGGGCTCTGGAAAGCCCAGGGTTAAAATCCAGCAAGTCACCACCTTACAGAACAAGGCAGTGATCCATCTGATCCCGCTGCCTCAGCCCCAGCCTTTGTTGGATCATCACAAAGGTGCTGCTGCCCTTGAGCTCCACGGCCCCCAGCGAGACACCCACGTGTGGAGCTGACTCTGGCAGCGGGGTTTGGGGCAAAGCAGAGCCAGGACAAGACTTCAGGGACATCACTGACCATGGACAACCCTGAGTCTCCCAGGGGAGGGTGGTGCAGATACAGGAGCTTGGCATCGTGACCCCAAAATGCCCCTCAAGGCTCTGGCAGCACTGAACCCTCTCCCAGCCTATGGGAGATGGGAGCCAGGCTTCCCACTGCAGCATCATCTGGTTTTCAGCTCATTTCTGGCCATTTCCTCCCCACTTCCTCTATCCCCGCTGCAAACCCCTCTGAACAACAGGCTTCTTTCTCAGAAAGGACAAGAGGAGACTTTGGGGGTGGTGTGTCCCTCACCCTTTCTTCAGGGACAGCCCTGACCCTTATGGGCAGGTTGGGGGCGAAGAAGTGCCCTGCTCCAGCTTCAGGAAAAGGGAAGATCCCAGGCTGCAAAGCAAGAGGAGAAAATTATCTTGGATTAAACTCCTGGGCCCTGGGTGTTGCCATTTATGGCTGCACTTTCTGCTCCAAGCCTGATGCAAGACATTGCAAGAGGGAAAGAAAGCAGACAGGAGAGAGCCAGCCAGAAAGAGAAAAGCCAGGAGAAAAGGGGAAGGAAGAAACCGCTAAAAAAAAAAGACTAAATAATAATAATAATGTTGGGCAGAGTTTAGCAGAACAAAAGCAGCTGCTGTGTCAGCAGCTCCCCTTCACCCAGCACTGGCCACAGGAGCAGCAGCAGGTCAAGAGCAGTTTTCCAGCCCTGCTGATGGTCCTGCCAGCTCTGGGGTGCCTGGAGAGGGTGTCCCTCATGTGGAGATGGCATTTTGCAGGTCCGAGCCCCCCAAAGCATGGGAGCATCTGCTCCTGTCACTTCCCCTGTCACTGCTACGGGCAAGGACAAACCACGGAGTGGGCAGAGCATTTCTGAAACTCTGGGACCATCCAGAGTCCTCGTGGGCTGTGCTCCAGCAGTGCCCTGGCTCTGGCACAGCTCCAGGGCTTTACCCAGCCCACAGCTCCCAGGGCAGCTGCCCAACCTCCTCATCCTGGGTAGGGAACCCAGCGCAGCCCCCAGTGCCACCCTGCCCCTCACCACGGCCCAGCAGCAGCCCCGTGGAGGGATTCAGGGCGGGCACACAGGGCTCACAGGCTCCTGGGGGTGACACATGTCCTGTCTCACTTCCCAGTTTCCAGCACTGCAAGAGATGATGAATTTGTCCCTGGCACTGGGCACATCTGAGCAGTCAGGGATCTGGCTGGGGAGCCCTGCATTCCCTGGCAGTGCTGCTGTGATGGGGGTAGCACATCACCACATCCCTCCCCAGTGCCCTGGGGGACACTGGAGCTCCTGTCCCAGCCCGCTGGCACTGCAGACACAGCCTGAACAGCTGCCAATTACAGCCAGACTTAATTAGACACCCTCTGCCCTGCAGCACAGGAAGGGCAGGCAGGAGGCATTAGGGGGGGGGAATGACGACTTTTTAAATGTAAAGAGGGCTCCTGGTGGGAGCTGGGTGGTTTGTGCTGCCCGGGGTGTCCAGAGGCACTGGGAGCCCCCAGGGAGGCACAGCCTGGGGTGGGAGGCAAAGGGAAAATGCACCAGGAGCTTGGCAGAAGAGACAGAGAAACCTTTGTGCCTCTGCTGTCCAGGTGACAGCCCCCAGGCTGCCCTGCTCAGGTTTTTGTGTCCCCTCTCCCCACTGTCACCCACTTGCCCCTGCTCTGTTTGAAGCCCTCAGCTGCAATTAACCCTTGGCAAACCAGCCAGGCTGCCGTGGCCTGGCACTGCCCACTCACCCTCCCCATCTCCAGAACATTTTGGCCAGGATGGGACCCCAGAGGTGACTCTGGTCCAACACTGAAAGCCCGGCCCAGTCCCTGCCACCTGCCACTTCCAGCTCATTAGAGCTGAAGTTTCTCACAAGAACCACGCTCCACAGCCCCAGCGTCGCTGCTGTTCCCACCCAGTCCCCACCCAGCAGCTTTTCATTACGGGATTGCTTTGACAGCACTGCCCGATCCATTAACGAGCTGGGGATGGGGATGAGAACAGACAACGACAGACTAATTAAGGTTTTTTTTTCAGTGATGGGAGCCAGCAGAGACAAGGGGAAACACTACCAGCAGCTAAGGGAAACAAGGACTACTGGGCTCCTTTCCCTGCTCTGCCACTGGTTCATTTTGTAGCCTTGAGCATGATGCTGCAATGAACTGGTCACTGCACAGAGGGGCAGGGGGCCGTCAATTTTAGCGATTTGATCAGCCTTGCAGGAGATGGAAGCAGGAGGGAGGCCCCAGCAGACCCCAGTTTGCAGAGGCAGGGAGCAGGGAAGGAGGAGGCAGCGCTCCAGCCCGTCATTAACACACCGAAGCCGTCCCTGGGCGGGTTCATCCATCAGCATTTTGGTCGAGTGGTTAATGGCTGTGGGCAATGCCAGCCAGCCTGGCACAGTGCGAGCTAAGAAAACAGGGAGAAAAGAAAATAAATAAGGGAAGAAAATAAATAAGGGAAGAAAATAAATAAGGGAAGAAAGCTCTCTGAGTGGCGAGCACAGCCCTCTCTCTGCCTGCTGATGCACTGAGCCTGCAGGAGCCAGCAGCCGGGCAGGCTCTGCGAGCCTCCTCTGCTGAGTCACATCGGGGGACCGCAGCCCTGGGCCGAGCCAAGACAGGCTGAAAGGGAACGATTCCATCAGCAGCCGCCTGCAAAGCACTCCCTGCCCTGCCCAGAGCCGTCCATCCCTGCCTGTGACATCTCCTGGGCTTGGGTCCGAGTGGTGCCGGAGGAGGGGCGGGATGAAGCAGCTTGGAGGATGTTCATTGGGAGCAAAAGCAGAACCCAGGGAGATTGTGCAGAGCTGTGGATGGTCTCTCCCACTCTGCCCACAGCACCAACCCTCGGATCAGCAGACTGGGCAGTGCCACACGTGTGTGGTGCCTGCTGGAAGTGCACGTAGTCTCTCCCAGTCCCTCGGCTGTGCCACCCGGCCCCGGCGCTGCTGGCAGCTCCCGAGCACTCAGCAGCCAGAAACATCAAACATCGCTCCCCTCCCACTGCTCCCCACCCGGGCCACACGTGCCTGGTCCCTGACCTTCCCAAGGGGATGCTGCTCAGGCCTAGGGTGACTTTTCCAGGAGGAAAAGCTGACCAGAACCCTGTGCTGCTCCTTTGCTGTAAGAGGAGCTGAGGGGGCAGTGAGGAGCCCCAGTCCCACAGAGCACAGCCAGGCTTCTGGAGGACACAGAACTCCCCATTTCTTGAGTAAGAACTCATTCCAGACACACAAAACCCTGTCACTGCACCTGTGGCGAGCAGGGATAAAGGAGCTGAGCCCGTCTCTGAGGACAACAAGCATTGCAGCAGTGCCTGTTCAAAGAAATCAGGGCTCAAGAGCAGCCAGAGGGGAGGAAAACATTCCCAAGAGGTGAGCTAGCAGCAGAGGAGCTGCAGGCTCTGGCAGGATCCATCTGTCCCAATGGGTGCAGCTCCAGCCAAGTGGCCAACTTTGGTGCTGAGCTGGCCCAGCCAGGACCCAGCTGGCTCACGGTGTCCCAGGAGCTCTCCAGAGATCCTGGTACCTACAGACACTGATAAATCACAGGACAGAGAAACAGATGTGGTTTCCAGGATGCTGTGTCAAGCATGAGAGCTGTATCCATGGGCAAAGGGCACTGGCAAGGCGAGAGCAGAGCTACGAGGCTCAAAACCCCCCAAGGGAGGTGTGAGGAGCACAGGGAGGCACAGCCACATGCCAGCCCCGAGAGCAGGTCAGCCGTGGGTGTCGCAGAGCATCCCAGCACAGAGCAGGCTGTGCAAGCCCCCGGGACCTGCCCAAGGCTATCCGGTGAGTCACAGGAGATGCTTTCCAAGGCGAGGGCTGAGTACGCACTGCCCGGCAGCCTGGAAACAGTTGCTGAGGATTACAAATGCTGCTAATAATAGCCAGGAGGCGACTGGGCCCCAGCCCCGTGCCCCGGCACACGGCGATGCTCCCGCATTCCCGGGCCACCGCTGTGCTCCCTTCCCGGCCTTTGGACAAGGGGCCACATGCGAGAACGCCACCAAGGCAGGGCGTTTGTGCACCTCAGGTTGTCACCGAGTCCCATCCAGGCTGGGCAGAGCAGAACAAGATCTTCCCATGGACACTGGGTCACTCTTTTATTTTTAAACAAGATCCGGTGGAGGAGGAGGATTTACCGGGCATCACTGCCGCCCCCAGCCCCGCCAGTTCAGCCAGGGGTCAGAGCTTGGGGCCAGCATCCAGCTGGGGCTGGGGAGGAGTGGGGCGGCCCTGGGGCAGGCAGGGACAGCGCACGGAACCCGCGCTGCCACGGGGACAGTGTCTGTAACCCGCAGAGAAGGGATGCGACGGGAAGAACAAACATAAGCACATACCCCAGCACCTGGATAAGCTCGTGGGGAAAGGAAAAGACTGCCAGGGGTTAGCTGTGCACACAGGAGAGGCTCACACTGACACACGCTTCTCTTCCCTTGAATCTTCACTTTCTTAGATTATTTTTTAGGAGCATTCCTTAGGGGACGGGGGAGGGAAGGAGCCAGTAACACCCCCCCAAACTGCTGCCTCCTCCGGGGACAACGGGCTTGTTCCCATCCGAAGACAAAACACGGGGTTTGCCGGGACCTCTCTTATTTTAGGGGAAAACCCCGAGCGCTGCTCTCTCCCTGCCACCCGCGGAGACGGAGGGATGGAGAAGTGACACCAGGGGGGTTTTGGGGGACCCGGGCTGTGGAGCTGGCCTTACCTTGCTCTCCGCATCCTCCCGGTGCCCGGGCTGCCGGGGCTCCGCGGGCGGCTGCCGGGGCTGCTCGGGCGATGGCCGGGGCTGCTCGGGCGATGGCCGGGGCTGCTCGGGCGATGGCCGGGGCTGCTCGGGCGATGGCCGGGGCTGCTCGGACGATGGCCGGGGCTGCTCGGGCGATGGCCGGGGCTGCTCGGGCGATGGCCGGGGCTCCGCGGGCGGCTGCCTGGGGATGCTCTCGGCCGCCGCGGGGCTGGGCTCGGCCGCGGGGCCCGGCTCCGCCGCCGCCTCCCGCTGCTCGGCCACCGCTTCCTTCCCCTCGTTGCCCGCTCCGACCTCCTCCACCGGCACCCGGCTCCCCTCGTCCTCCGGCCCCTTGGCCGCGGCCGGTGCCGCTTCTCCCCCGGGGCCGCCCTCCCGAGCCGGCTCCGCCGCCCGCTGGCCGCCGCCTCCCCGCAGCCTCAGGAAGACGGAGGCGAGGACGAGGGCCAGCACGGTGAAGAGCAGCGGGACGGCCAGTCCCGGGTACCAGTCCACGGGCAGGTCCATCGCGCCCCGCCGCCGGAGCCCGCCCGACCCGACTGCGCGGCCGCGGGGGTGCGCGGGCGGCGCTCGGCCGGCGGCGGGGCTGGGCCGGCTCTCGGCCGGCTTTACCGGCGTCATCCCCGGCCCTGCCCACCGCCCCGGCCCCCCGGCCCCCCCGGGCCCGGCGCCCACCTCCCGCTCCGAGCCGGCAGCCGCAGCCCGGCCCCGCTCCCCGCCCGCATCCACCCGCGGCCAGGGCTGGGATTTGGGAAGGGGCGCCGGGAGAGGAAGGTTTGGGCTGCTTGATGCGAGAGTCCAGCTTGGGACAAGGGGATCTTTCATTAGACGCTGCTTTATAGCCACAAAGTCATTCCCAAACTGCTCGGCAGTGGCTTGCATCGTCAAATCCTAGAATCATTTATATTGGAAAAGACGTCAAAGATGATAACCCCCTTCAGTGAAGAAATTGTTCCTATACCCAATGTAAACCTCCCCTGGCACAACTTGAGGACATTTCCTCTTGTCTGTCACTCGTTAACGGATCCGTTGGGAACAATGGGGAGGTGTCAGTCTCCCGGGATGCTCCCTGCGCAGGCACCCAGGGCTTGGTGAGCTCTGACACGCTGGGGTGTCGCTGGCCTCTGTGTTTAACAGTGTTTAATGAGCATTTGCACCTTGTTAGCCCTTGGCTGGGGAGCGGAGGGGCTGGCAGGACCAGGAAGGCTGTCCTGACTCCCCTGGGTGAGCAGCATCTGGCAGCACATCCATGCCAAGCTCCAGAGCATCACTCCACCTTCCCCAGGAGCTGCAGGGGATATCAGTGCCATAAACTGCTGTGATACCCCCAGGTAAAATTGGTGCTGAGAGCAGCTGGACTGCCAGAGACTCTCCCCAAACATTTTGCTGCCATGAGGTCTGAAAAACAGGAGGTTCAAAAACCAGGATGTGTCCAAAAGCCATCCCAAACTGGCAAGCAGAGTGGCCAAGGAGTTGTCAGGTTCCTCTAGACTCTGCCACTGAGGATTTCCTGCCTCTCAAGACTGCTGGGAGGATTAGCCAACCTTTTACAAAGCAGGCTGAAATTAGAAGGCCTAAACTATTGCTGCCAGGGTGAAACCAGCATGGAGCGGGATGCATGTGAGGGGAACAGACATGGAATTCACCCCAGAAAGTTTCTTCCAAGGAAAAGGCCCTGGAGATACCACCCGGAGCAGAGTTTTTTTATTGACTGACCAAAGACAAAACTCAAACAAAGACGAGATTAAATCCCCGGGTGGGAGGAAGGAAGTGAAGCCATGATCCTCCCTGCATTTGTCTTTATTGGTAATCCTATCAGGCAGGCAATCATTAGCCTATGGATAATTGTATTCTTAGCAACAACCAACCACAGTACTTACCTCCCCTTCTCCAGCAGAGCCTTGCATTTCCTGGGTCTCAATCGTCAGAGCTGCTCTAGAGCTCAGCCAAATCACCCGGAGATTGGCAGCATCACAGAGCTGTCTGTTCAGCAGCTTTTTTGATGTGTATTTGGTCCCTTCTTCCACCTCCTTGCCCTAATCCCAGTTGCCATGAAGGCATCATCCCCAGTCCAGTGCATCACTTGCTTTCAGAGGCTTCCTCTGAGCCCTGGAAATTGCTCGTGGCCAGAGACAGAACCAGGGTGGGGAAGTTCCAGGGTCTGTGTCCTTGCTCCTGTGCTCATGTGAACTGTCAGTTTTGGGCACAAAAAGGAGTTCTGGGTGAGACTGAGAGAAACTGGGCACTGGGAGCTGCTAATAGGGTGACATGGGGTGTTTAGATTATACATTTCCAGCTGTCACAGTGCCCTTGATTGCTGCCAACACCCAAGACACCTCCTGCTCTTTCTCCCTGGCAGTAGAAATTTTCCACAGCTCTTGGCTGGAAGTGTGTTGGAGGGTGTTTGCCCACTCAGGAATGCAGCAGCATGTGGCTTGCATTAACCCAGCAGAGAGACAGAGCACTTCAGCCAGCACCCTCTGGAGCAGCATTTATCACTGCCTTAAAATAAGGGAAGCTGGTCCTGACAGCTTCTCCAGAGGATGGAATCCCTGATAAGGGAATCAACAGGAGCATCAGAGGTGCTCAGTAGCAGCAGCTCCTGGCTCTGGACCTGCAGCAATTCCCTCTCAGGTTGCTGGAACCCGCAGCACTCACAGCTGTGAGAGCAGCTGGGTTTGGATGTCTGTGAAAAACAACACTCCTGGTCTTGAGAGCAACGGGCAGGAGCAGCAAGGACGTGTCTGCCAGAAGAGCTGCTCTGAGCCAAAGTTATGCAGTAACGAGGTGACAGGATCAGCAACAGAGCTCAGCTCCTCATGGCCACACTTGGGGTGAGAGCTCCTGCAGAATGCCATCTGATGGGGATGATCCCCCAGGCAGAATTCGGTCCCGTGTGATGCCAACTTGTCCCCTCCAGAGGGAACTGATGGAGTACACTCAGCATGGTCCCTGGCCAGAGCTCCTGCTGTGAGGCACAGAGGTATCTCTGGGGCTCTCCTACCAACTTACAAGGCACGATTGATGCCTCCAGCCCCATCATGCACGCTGCGGGGCGGGAGGGGATGGATTCACACACCGGCCCAGCCAGGCAGGCTCCCAGCCAGGAACCTCCGCCCTGGGGCTGCCCGCCAGCCCCCGGAGAGACGAGCTCAGAGTCTGCTGGCAGAGGGGGCTCGGGGAAGGGTCCCTGGGCACGGCACCCCCGGCCCAGCCCCAGCCCAGGCTCGGGCTGAGCCCGGGGCAGCGGCAGCAGCGCGCTGCCCTCTCTCGGGAGGAGAACCGCCCTGCAGCGCCCGGGAGAGCCGGGGATGGCTGGGGACAGTCCCGGGGATGGCTGGGGACAGTCCCGGGGATGGCTGGGGACAGTCCCCGAGAGCCCCGGCAGAGCAGGGTTTAAGCCTCAAGAGCCCGGGATGGGTAGGGGATGGCTGGAACGGTCCCCGAGAGCTTCAGACGGGCAGGGAATGGTCCCCAGGAGTCCCGGGCGGGCAGGGGAGGGATGGCTGGGAAGGGCTTGGGCAGGGGATGGCTGATGGCAGGGGAGGGATGGCTGGGAAGGGCTTGGGCAGGGGATGGCTGATGGCAGGGGAGGGATGGCTGGGAAAGGCTTCCTCAGAGCCCAGTCTGGGCAGGGGAAGGCTGGAAACCGCTCCCCGAGAGCCCCGGGCAGGCAGGGGACAGACCCCGGGCGGGCAGGGGCTGGCTGGGTACTGTCCCCAGAGCCCCGGTCCCGCACAGAGCCGCTTTCACACGGCTGCCAGCTCCGGGAGCCAAGGGCAGCAGCAGCTGAGAAGCTTTCCCAACAAAGGGGGATTCAGGAGAGCCGCAGTGACAACCGCTCCGGGAAAAAGCCCCGGCAGGGAAAATGCTGCTGTGCCGCAAATCTGCCTGCGGGAGGGACTGAGCCGGGCTGGCTGCTGCTGGCCGGGCCACAGCCGCCCCCAGGATGCAGGAATGGGGTGTGGGACCCTCGGGAGAGCCGTCTACAGGCACAAAAAAGAACTGATCTAACACACCACACATTCTCAGTGTCCGGCAGCCTGTGAGCTGTACAGGCAGGTGCTGTTCTGAGGTCCTCTGCATCCCACCCACCCAAAGCAAGGAGGTCACTGAGCTCCAATACCTGCCTCTGCATCCTAGCTTTAACCCGAGTGTGGCTCCACAAGCCCCTGTGCAGATACATGCTGGTTTCCAAGGGGAAAAGTCAGGATTTTATGTTCTCAGATCCTCCCAGAACCCATTTTTCCTCGCTTATGCGAGTTTGAGCACAGACCAGTCTTACAGCTGCTTCAAACTCAGATTTCTGCAAGCCCCAGTCACACTCCCAGTCACAGACACCACTTTATCCTTGCCAAGAACAGAGCCCTCTCCATTTTGATGCCAGAAATGAGAAGCTATCCCAAGAAACACCCCTGTACTCACTGTTCTTCAGGCTTGCAGGTCATTCCCCTACCTGGCTGGCTTCTCATTTGCCTTTTGTACATCTGGCTGTGTGCTGGCTCTGGGGTATTTGCATTCAATCCACAAATAGCAGAGCTCAGCCCGGGGGTGGGGATGCTTCTACCTTGCTTCCACCAAAAGAAATGATCCAACCCAAGAGCTCTCCTTTAAGTATTTGTTTCTAGACCTTCTCCCTGAGCTCCTCTCACTAACCCCTCTGCTTGTGAGGCCTCTGCTCTCAACCCTACAGCTTTTTCCAACATCTTAATTCATTTTACAGTCTAATCCCTGACCCTGGGCAGGCTCTGAGTTGCTGTTGAGGGTCTTCAAAGTTGTCAACCAGTACAACTGGCCTTACCCTTGACAGCACACTGATACAAGCTGATATTCCAAAAGCTCCTGGATACTGGCAGCCATTCCAGCCCCAGCTGAGAGGTGACACAGCCTTGGCTGTAAACAAGGCAATGCTGCAGCAGAAAAGCTCCAGTCCACCTCTCCCTGTCAGCACAGCTGGGACAGGCAGGACAAGGCTGCTGCTCCAGCTGCCCTGCCCCTCCTCCTGCTCCGGGCAGGCTGCAGGATTTGTTCCAGCAGCAGCCCCAGTTCTGGCCCCTCTGCTGAAGGACAGGACATCCACAGTCACAGGCACCACACACAGGTGGGAAGCACCAGGTGTCACACCAGAAGGGACATGGAATGATTATTCCCCTCTGAACACATTCCTGACCAGTTCTGCCTGCCCTGATCCAAACTTCTCCAGAACCAGAGGAGGTGAAGCCCCACAGAGGAATCTTTATGTGCCTTGAAGGAAAAAAAAAAATGTGCTGCAAGCCTGTTCATTCAACTCCAAACCAGTCTTAAAACACGTAGCTGCTCAGTGCCATGCCTGACACTGCAGGAGGGACACAGCCCTGCTCCATGATTTGCTTTCCAAAAGAAAAAGCAGGAGTTATTTGCTTCTGCATCAGACTGGAGGGAAGGAGCAGGAACATTGGCAAAAGTGCAGCACAGGCTTCCCAGCAGGAATTAAAGTATCAGTGTGTCATCCTCCTTGTTGAAATGAAATTGCAACTGTCACAAAAAGAAAGATGTGTAGATAAATCAAGAGGAATAAAAATAAATCAAGTCCTGACTGCAAGGCCACAGAGGGACTGCAGGAGGTACCAGCAATACCTGCAAATGAGGAAGAATGGTCAGGTTGTCTCTAAATTGCCTCTCCAGACTAAAAAACAAGAGAGATCAATTATAAAAGCACTTCTACAGTGGCTGTACACAGTTTTTAGGCACCATTAACTCGCAGCGTTTTCTGGAATTGGGGCTTGTTAAATGCCAGGCATGGACACACCCATGGATCAAACACAAGGAGAGGAGGGGCTCATTTGCTAATTGTGCATCCAGCAGGGGAGGTGAGCTGGGCATGGGGAGAGCTGCTGAAGGGCAGCTGGAAAGGAGAAAAAAAATGGCTTTATCGGTGACAGTAAAGAAGAAGAATGTTTCCAGCAGTGTCTGGGAAGGGGAGGACAGAGGTTTATGTGGAAATGAATGAACTGCCTGTCTGCTGCCACAAAGCCATTTACTCTTCAAGGTGTTTCATTTTACAATATATTGCTGTAAGTCTTTCAAAAGTCTCAGGGCTGCTGTTCCACACTCTGTGCCAGCTTATTTACCTACAGTTAATGGCTTCAACAATGCTCACTGACAAAATATACAAGTTTTTCCACCTTCCCAGTCCTTGTTCCACCTCACAGCCAGGCTCCTTGAGGCAGCTCTGCCCCAGACCCCTCTGCTTGGAGTGCAGCCCTTCCACAGAATCTCTCTGCACTGTGGGGCTTATTTAGAATCATGGAATCACAGAATGGGATGGGTTGGAAGGGACTTTAAAGCTCATCTTGTTCCACCCCTGCCATGGGCAGAGACACCTTCCATGGTCCCAGGCTGCTCCACGCCCCATCCACCCTGGCCTGGGACATTTCCAGGGATGAGGCAGCCACAGCTTCTCTGGGTAACCTGTGCCAGGGCCCCACCACCCTCACAGGGAAGAATTTAATCCTAATATCCAAGCTAAACTTTCTCCCTGTCAGTTTGAAGCCATTGCCCCTTGTCCTGTCACTCCAGGTCCTTGTAAAATGTCTCTCTCCATCTTTCTCGTAGGTTCTCTCCAGGGAGCAGAAGGGCTACAATTAGATCACCCTGGAGGCTTCTCTTCTCCAGGCTGGACAATCCCATTTCTGTCAGCCTTTCCCCATGGGAGAAGTGCTCCCTCCCTCTGGTTACCACCTGGCCCTCCCAAAGCAGCACACGACACGTGGAAAATGAAACCCCTTCTCAGCAGTGTGAGGTGACACAAGACAGAAACCTCTTGTGACACAGACTGGGGAGGCCAGGGCAGGGCCAAAGAGCAGGTGGGACAGACTGGTAACAAATCTACCAACAACTCACCTCCCAGAGCCACTACAACCCCAGCAGCTTCCAAACCACACCCCAGAACAGATGGGCAAACCCTCAAGCATCCCCAGAACTGTTCCCAGCACATTTAGCACTTTGGGAAACAGAAGTGCACACCTGTAAGGTTTTTTTTCAGATTACAGTATGAAAGAAAGTGCCAGGGTAATGCAAAATAATTGATTTTATTTAAAATAAAAAGCAAAACCACAATCATCTGAACAAGACAAGTATCCCAGCTCTGCTGGATGGGTGATAAAAGCAGCTAAGGGCAGTGGCAGGGCTTGGAGCTGACAGTGGGACTGTCACACAAATGGGTAACACTTTCCTTCTCTCCTTTGCAAGGAGGATGCCAAAAACCTCCCAGTTACAATGTGCCCACAGAGGCCTTCCAGACTGGATTCAGCCAACAGTCACTTCCCAGCCCACAGTGGCTGGGGACTCAGGGAGGAGAGTAGAGGTTAACTCTGAAAGAGGGTGCTGTCCTTCCTTGAAGCATTTGGAGAGGTTTGATGTAACTGAGGAGACAAACTGGAGCCAGCACACACAAGCCTGAAAGGGGAGGCAGCTCTGCCAGAGGCTCCTTGGTGTCACCTGCTCCCACAGCACTTGTGCAGGAAACAGGTGCTGCCACTGCTGCCTCTCGTCCACATTTGTGGTTCTGATGGAGTGTTGGATCAATTCCTCCTGAACTCTCACAGCCTGTGTCCGTCACCAGGCTCTAAAGCACAGGCAGAGCTCCCAAATCCTTTCCTGGAGCAGGCAGGATTGTGACAATGACACTCAGGCCGAGGGTCTCTGCACATCCCTGGGGAAGACAGCAGCCACCAAAACCCCAGAGAAGTGAGGCAGAGCTGTGCTGCTGCTCTGGGGCTCAAGGAAATGGGGGATCCACAGGGTGTGGACCAGCTGCATCCAGGGCCTCCAGAATACAAAAGCAGCAGGGCTGGAACAAGAGACAAGGATGCCCCAAGAAGCACAAGCCTGGAGAAACGAGAGCACAGAGCCCACTCTCCCCAGGCAGCTTCCCACAAGCACGGAGTGGGGCACAAAGGGAGCACAGTTTTTAACTGTTCCTCCCTCACCCAGCCTGAAGCAAGGGCCTGGGAAGCACCAGCTCCCCCCATTCCTGTAAGGCCAGAGAAGCTGACTCCCTGGTGAGAAAACAGCATCTGATTCTGTTTCAAAACAGATCCTGCCCTAGCAGGACCTCCTGTTTAGAGCAGGCTATGGAACAGCAACAGTTCAACCCTGGTGAAAACAAGAATTCTTGTTCTGCTGCAATTTATGTACCACACAGCAATTCTGGAAGGGCCATCACAGAACACCACGTGGCCAAGAGTTTTGAAAAACATCCCCAATGTTTTCTGCTACAAAAAGCTCCCACCAGGCTCGGAAGTCTCAGGTTGCTCAGAATGAATGGAACACTTTTTGTGGGTGGATGGCTTCAAAGCATCTTACACAAGTCATTACAGCTCAGCCTCACAACAGCCCTGCGAGGTAGGGATCTTCCTCACTGCTCAAGACTCACCAAAGTGGCTGAGGCAAAAGCCAGAAGGGGAAGAACTGGAGATCCCAGAGTTCTGATTCCCAGGTAAGACTGCACAGACACTGTTTCAGAGCAGGAAAGTGCCCTGTGGAGCAGTCAGGAGAGGGCTGCTGGTATCATGATGTCTGCTGTCCATTGCAAACACGCTGTTTTTCTGTGAGGGGTGTCACATCAACACAGGCTTCACCAGGAATTGCTTTATTTCACACTATGGAAGAGTTCACAGGTATGGAAGAATGCTCTGCACACTGCAACTTCCCACTGTGTTTCTAGAGGCAGAGGTGTGGCTTTCCCAGCACAGCAATCAGGCTTTCACATCACATTTTAGACTGTGCAAATGGAACCACATGTGCCAAATGCAGCTACATCTCACTGAGGTGCTGCCCAGCCACCAGAGAGGAAGGGACAGAACTCCAAGGACTCCCCTCACCGTGACAGAGCTGAGTCTTGTGAGCCTTCATCTCTCCAGGCCCCACATTATTCCAAAAAGCAGCAGCTGCAGACTGAGAGGACACACTTAGACTGTGCAGGCTCCCAAGCTGCTCAGCCTTGGCCAGAAATGCCAGGAGTTGGAATAATTGCAGGATTTTTTAAGTGATGTTGTGGAAGAATCTGCATTGGCTACAGAGCAAGCGTGCTTGCTTATGCCTGGCTATCTATCACAGGAAATTTGGGAGTCTGAACAGCTAAAGAATGTATCAATAAACCTTCCCTCTCTACATTCCCCACCACCACACTGCTCTTACACAAACTGACTGGCACAGAAGAGTCAAAAACAGAGATCCCAACAAACACATTTAGGATTCCTTTGTACAAAAGGATATGGCCCAGGATTGCTTAAATAAGGAACATACAAGGTTAAAAATGGATCAGAGCCCAGAAAAGCAACACTCCAGGTTGCACCAAACCCAAAATGTTTAAGAAAGTCACAGCTGAGGCTTTAATATCTCTTTAATTTGCTCTTTCATCAGAGCCTGGGCATTGCTGTGTGTTTACTACATGCACAGCACTTCTGCTGTCAAGTTTCTTCTCCCAAAGAATGGCTGAAGTAAATTCTGTACCCACCTCCTAGGGCTGAAAAGAGCACCCACTGAAGCAGCCAATGAGAAATTCAGATTTCCTAGCAGCACATTCAGCCACACAGAGACACCACCAGCACAAGACCCTGCTAATATAACAAACCAGCAGCTCCAAAGATCCCTTGGGGACAAGAGCTTTACCTGGCATAATACAAATGCATCTACACAGACTTAAACAACACACTGCATTTTTAAAAAGCATAAAAAACCAACATGTCCCCCTCCTCAGTCCTTTAAAATTGGCACTGCAACTTTCAGAAATCTCAAAGAAAAACCATTTAGGGATGTGAACTGCAGTGGCCTGAGCGAGCCCACGGCCCCAGAACTGTTTAGTGTTCCAAGCCCAGCAGAGTCTGGCAGAGTCAGATTTTGTCAGCAGTTACCTTGTGCTGAACATCACACCTGCACCTGAAGGACTGGAAGTACTGGCAAATGCTTTTTCCTGCCACAGTTTTTGCTGTGCAAGAAACTCCAGGATTCTCCTGCAAAATTGAGCTTCCCATTACAAGGTGCTAGTGCAGCTTTGTTACCTGTCACCCTGACAGACCCAGAGTGGAAGCAGATGGGCTGCTGCTGGTTCAGGTGTTGCACCTCAGGTGTGTGCATGGAGCACGCTGATTCAGACCACAAAAGGTGCTTCAGGTTGGTGGTCACCTCTGCTGAAGTTGCTTCAGTGCTTGGGGCATTCACACCACCTTCTCTTTCTTGGCTGAACAGGGATCTTCTCTTGGAAATAAGATGAAAAAGGAAGGTGTTTGCCCAGTGGGAGCAAGGTCAGACATGGGAAGAATACAGAAATGCTGTTGCCACTGTAGGGAGAAAATTCATATGGCCAAAGCTCAACTGGAGACAAAACTGGCCAGAACCATGACGGAAATAAAAAAGCTTTTTCAAATCTATTAATGGCAAAAAGCAAATTAGAAGTAACACTGGCCCATTCCAGGATGAGGATGGTGTCCTCAAAAACAAGGACATGGGCATGGCAGAGGTGTTTAATTCTTTGCCTGTCTTCAGCACAGATGATGAGCCAAGGGGGTCTCAGTGCCCTGAGCTGGAGGACTGTGACTATGACAATGTTCAACTCCCAGTCGACCCCAAAGCAGCAGGATCTGCTGCTCCACAGGGATGCCTACACATCCATGGGGCCTCATGGCATTCATCTGAGAATTCTCAAGATGCTGCTGATGTCATGGCAAAACCTCTCAATGATTTTTGAGCAGTTTTGGGAATCTGGAAGGGTTCCAGCTGAGTGGAAGCTGGCAAATGTCCCAGTTTTCAACATCAGGGAGGAGGACCCTGGAAACCACAGGCCTGTCAGTCTCACTTCAGTGCCTGGCCAAGTCATGGAAGAGATGGTTCTGGGAAGTACTGAAAAACACCTGGAGGACAATGCAGGCATCAGTCACAGCTTCACAAAAGAAAGTCCTGTTTTTTCAATCTGATCTCCTCTTGTGACAGGTGACCCACCTCACTGACCTAGGAAACCCAGTAGATATCACCCTTTTGGACTTCAGCAAACTCTGAATATTGTCTCTCCCAGTGACCTTCTGGACAAACTGTGCAGCCCACAGCTGGTTAACCGTATTAAATGATGGGTGAGCAACTGGCTCACAGGCTGGACACAAAGGGTGACAGTGACTGGGGTGACACCAGGCTGGCACTGGTCACTAGTGGGGTTTTGCAGGGCTCCATCCTCATCCCTGTGCTCTTCAACATTAATGACTTGGACACGGGATTGGAAGGAATATTAAGTTTGCCAAGACACTAAATTGGCAGGAGGTGTCAACCCTCTCAAGGGTAGAGAGGCCTCAACAAATCAGAGAGATGGGCAATCATCAGCCATGTGGAGTTTAACAAGGGCAAGGGCTGAATTCTGTGCTGGGGTCCAGGCACTCCTGGCTGTGTGGACAGACTGGGGAACAAGAGGCTGGAGAGCAGAGCTGTGGAAAGGGGACCTAAGGGGTTCTGCTTGGTGGCAAGCTGGATCTGAGCCAGCAGTGCTCTGGAGCCCAGAGGGCAAATCATGTCCTTGGGGCATCAGGCCCAGCATCACCAGCCAGGAAAGGGAGGGGATTGTCCTGGGGTGGCCTCACCTTCAGTGCTGGGGGCAGTTCTGGGAACCACAACATCTAACAGACATTAAACCACTGGAAAGCGCCCAAAGGAGGCCACGAGGATAGTGAAGGGTCTGGAGGAGAAGCTGTATGAGGAGTGGCTGAGGTCACTTGGTCTGTTCAGCCAGGAGGAGACTGAGGTCAGATCTCATTCGGGTCTTCAGCATCCTCATGAGGGACAGCAAAGGGGCAGGTACAGAGCTCTTCACTCTTGGGACCAGTGACAGGACTCAAGAAAACGCCTGGAGCTGAGTGAGGGCAGGTTTAGGTTGGATATCACAAAAACGTTTTTCACCCTGAGGGTGGCTGGACACTGGAACAGGCTCCCCAGGGCAATGGTCACAGCACTGAGCCAGTCTAAGTTCATGAAGTGTTTGGACATTGCTCTTGGGCACAAGATGGGGTTCTTGGTTTCTGTGCAGGGCCAAGAGTTGAACTCAATGATGGGTTCTTTCCAAGTGCCCATATTCCAGGATTTCATAAGACACACACTTGGAAGCACCAGCCCCAACAGCAACGTTCTCCTGCAGCAGGGTAAAATCCAAGGACTCATTTTCCACAGCTCAGTTCTTGCAAAAGCTCATTTCTTCCTTGCTCTTCCCAAAATTCTGGTGTGAGATCCACCAGTCATTCCAATAGGCCAAAAGGGCTGGTGTTCCTTTCCTCAAGTGTACAGGACAACATGTAAACATATGACAGTGTCAAAACAAGGCAGGTTTTTACATTTACCTGCTGGTTTTAAAAAGAGTTCTTTAAAAACTGACCATTGCCTTCCTTGCCAGTTCTGTGACCCATGAAATACTTGGCATGTCCTTAGCCACAGCTGGGTCATAGTGCACTCACCCGGGGTGCAGAGGGGACAAAGCATTGCACAAAGGACGCGGTCGGGGCGTTCCCCTACAGGTTATTCAGGAGCCAACCGTGGACAGCACGTAACGAAGATGTCTGGATCGAGGAAGGGTAACAAAAACTTAAGGAGTGTGAGAAATAGAAGCAGAAGGGAGTAGAACAGAGCTGGCTGGCTGCTAACAGCTTCCATCAGCAGCTGCCTCTGGGTAGGTGGTGTTATCCCTCACGGGTAGCTGCGGCCGCCACAAGATTCCCTAATCCTGTCAAAAAAAAGGTACAACTGCCTTTAAGCATTTCCCTTGTATCAGGGCACAAGATCCCAGCATGCAGATTAATCTCAGGCTTACTCTTCCTCCATTGTACAAGCAGGGTTAAGATTTTGTGTTTGGAAGCGTTTTAGCAACTAAGCCATCACACAGCTGGAACAGAACGCCCACCCACCCTCACAGAGTGAAACAATCAACATATGGGAGGAAGAACAATGAAACCCAGAAAGCAAATGTTCTAGGCAAAGTGCTGATTTTCAATATTTAGGGTATTCATTTCAAAATGTGAATGCAAATAATTTAAAAGTGCACAGGTTTTTCAGAAGAATAGATCTGCATTGTGATCTGCATTTTTACAGCTTTCTTTTTAAACCAAGGTCTGCATTAAAGGTTTGCTCTTTCCTGCTGCTCATTCCCTGCCTGAAGTCACACTGGCTGCCAAAATGGGATACGATGATGTCATAACAAGCAAACTGTAGAAACCTCTAGGGCAAAATAAGCAGTCAGTACAGTTCTCCCCAAGCTTGAATGATGCTCTGTACTTGTAATTCAATTGTATTCAGTTATGAGCAACTGCTGCAAACAAGAGAGCAATCTGCAGGAGCACACAGGTCTTCAGGCAGTCCCCACACTGGGAAGTCAGGCTGGAATCATGCTGGAATGTGGACTTTCTCAGGTAAATTACTGCTGCACACCTTCTTTAGCAAGCCACACACTAAGCCACCACAGCACTTGCATCCATGCCAAACCTGGAGCATCCAAGAGCTCAAGAGCTGGCCAGCACTCTAATGCAGGCAGGCAGCCAATCCAGCAGCACTGGTTAACCAAGCTGCAAGGAATTTGCTTAACATTTTTGGCAAGTCTCTGCTATATGAGAAAAAATGCTTCATTTAGCAAAGAATGTTTAAGTTCTTCCCTGCAGTATACTCCCAGATTCCCAGTGTTCCACTGTTTTTAACCTGGCCTGTCCAGAGAACTGCTTTCCTCAGCAACTTTACCTTAAGCATATCTATCCTTGATTTTGCAATATTAATGTTGACTCCTTCCACACTGACTGAAACTTGCTCGAATAAATATATATATTTATGTATTTATTTATTTATTTATTTTAAATGTAAACACAGACATTTTGAATTCAGGATGAATTTTGCCTTTAACAGATAAAGCAGTGGAACAAATTGAAATTTGTTGGCAATAGAAATTGCACAAGCAGCAGTAAGAGAAACCATACAACTACTTGAAGGTTTTCTGTTTGAACAAGACAATAAAACCTGAGTCCTGCCTGATCATTCTTCATCTTTAACTGTTCACTATTCATTTGTGCTCCCTGAAGAGCAGTTTAAACATCCCACCTCTCCCATTAAACAAAGATAAAACCAAATCCTTTCATCTATTAAGAGACAACTAGGAAAAGTAATAAGATTGTTTATTAAATAAAACCCCTGTTTAAAAAAAAAAAAAAATCAATAATCTTAGTTTTCTGTTTGGAACAATTAAAATAATTCATGATGGGAAGATACCATTGGTCAACTGCTTTATGTTGTAAGGCATTAAAATAATTCATGAAGGGAAGATACCACTGGTCAACTGCTTTATGTTGTAAGGAATTAAAATAATTCATGAAGGGAAGATACCACTGGTCAACTGCTTTATGATGCAAGGAATCCCTTGCTCTCCATCCCTCTCTCCTGAGCAATCCCCTATCTGAAGTGTGCCAGCTCTCCCTCGTGTTGTCCTGTGCTTGTTTAAAACCAACAGCTGCCCTGGGTCACCTGGAGGAGCTGCGCTCTTTGCTCACGCAGTCGTCCTGGGAAGTCGTGTCCCCGTTCCCCATCATTCCGCACGTCCTCCGCTTTTTCCTGCGGTGCATCATCCCCTCTGTCTCAGAGCCAGAGTCACACTGAAGGAGAAAAAGATGAAACCACAATTCAGAGGAACCTCAACAACTGTCTGTGCTGTGCAATTCACCACAAGTTCTTTGAGCTCAGCAACCCTGAGCTCAAAGAATGTGCTGTTTTAGGATAGACACATCAAGGGAATTTTAAATCAAGCATTTAAAAGCCAGGAACACAAACATTTTTGGATTTCATCACTGGCTAAAGCTGATTTGAGCCAAGACAATGAATGTGTTTCTTTTGGTCCCGAGAAAGACCTCATCTTCCAGGAGAAGATTCTGGCTTCTGAAGGATTTAGGTGTTGACAAGAGTTCCATGTCATAACTGACCTGTTTTGGATTCTTTTCCCTCTCCCAGTATTCAGAACATTCATTTTGCAGCCATTTTCTGCAAGCTAGATGAGTGACAGTTTCATATATAATACAGACATGGATTAAACAGATTGAATCCATTTAGCAATGCAAAGAGAGGCTTCAGCAAACAGAACCTGCTAAGATCACAGGCTCCTCCAACATATAGATTGGTTTAGGTGCTTTCCATTAATTTATTCCATACGACACAAATGTAAGGATGAAGGCACATGATGAAGTATGGAAAAACAATGTAAATGCAGAATATGGATCACCTATTGCAATAAAAAGCATTACCTCTGAATCAGAGTCTGAGGAGCTGGAACTTGATGAACTGGAAGAATCACTGGAACTGTCAGAAGCAATACCAGTAGATTCCTGCAGGTCAACTGAATCAGCCAAGGCTGCCAATTCAGGATGTTCCTGCTTTAGGATCCTAAATACAGTTGAAATTTCAGGGTTAGCCTTTGAATTTTAACACTGCACATTAATGAATATTTTTAGGTTTTGTTTTCAATGGAGAATATACAAAGCAAGCTGCTAAATCTCTTACCTGTACCATTTCCGTGACAGTTTAGGTCTCCCTCTCACTGTCTTGTGCCACACCACTGGGAAGTTGGTACAGCTGGCAAAGTTTTGTGTGATGGCAATAGTTGTGTCAAGATTGAGGACTACGTGCCACCAGCCACCTAAAACACAACACCAGTGACCATTGGTGGCTGCATGGCAGAGAGCAAGTTCAAGGACAGCCAAGAACACCTTTCCCACAGTGCAGGTAGAACTGGACCTTATCTCCCAAACCCAGGTGAGTTTTCCAACCCATCATCTTTCCTGTCTTATTTCAGCTTTCACCCCAGTGCATGACATGTTCTTGTTACAGAAGGCAGCTCCACGCTCTGACCGAATTACCCAGCTCACACCCAGGACTGAAGATGTGACCTGACAGCACCGTGCTGGCTGCTGACAGTTTATTTAACAGCAGCAGCCATTGTAACCCAGGCTGCACAGAGCCCTTTCTGTTCAGCTGAAGAGCACTTTCCACGCTGATTTTGCAAGGTTCTTATGACTACAGACTAACCTTTCATTTAATCATAGATGCAAAATTGATTTTCCACACGGGATAAAAATAGTGGAGTTTTTACAACCCACTTAGAGGCTCAGAAAAGACTGAGGGAACAGTTTAATGGAACCCGACAGCTACAAACTCTTAACAGAAGGTACACTCAGGAGTCACTAATAAGTGCCAAGACAATCACAAGGCACCCTTCACACACCAAGTCAGCTGGATGTTAGAGACAAGCAATATGGACAGACACTGTGGGCTGTGCTGCACATAAATGATGCAAGATTCAGAGGTTAGAATCTGGTACTGAACTCATCTCACCCCCTACTTACAATGGGCACACAGTGTGCAGCCACTCAGAGGGAAGGGCATCTTTAGCAAAGCTTTATTTAGCTTTTGATTTCAAATGCAAGATGAAGCATAACCATAGAGAGGTGGGTGGAAGGTGTCAGTGCCTTTAAGTACTTCGTTTCCCACAGCTAAGAAAAATTTATATGTAAAATTCAGCCATTAATTTGCTCCAGTGTGTATAACCTCAAACATTTTTGTCCAAGAGTTACTGGGGCTCAAACATTTTATGCCCTGACAGCTTTCTAGTACTGCAATTTAGTTCAGACTACATTCCTGTGATGCCGCAATTTAAATCCCACTTGTTTTACCATCTGTAGCCCATGCAATCCTCTGCCACAGGTCATACACATTTTGTGACATCCAAGAAGTAACTGAATAGTCCCAAAACGAGCTCAGTTTGTTTTGTAAGAAATAGGCCATATAAGAAAGCTGAAATGTTCCCTTCATCTCCATGACACAGGGATGTTACAAATATGCTTTTTTCTTCCAGATTTCCTTCCTGGAGAGATTTGCACATACCTGGCACAAAGACTGTCTCTCCTGGTTTCTGTAAGACTTCCAGGGGTTTGAACTCGGGGGGCCAGGTGGGAAGCTGTGTCCGAGGATAGATGACATTGAACCAGGTGATGGCCTCGTCCTGCTGGTTCCCCCCCTCTTCCCGTGTCACTTTGATCAGCTCTCTGGGAGTGCTGGTTGGGAACAGGCACCAACGCTTGTGTCCCTGGACTAAGGCATTCCACGCACTGGTTCCCAAGGGATCGATGTGAATTCCTGTTCCAGAACGAGGTGGGCCCATCACAAACCATCTGCATGGGGGGAAAAGTGCTTTAGTCACAGAGCAGGCAGGTAGCTTCCTTTCTTCATGTCAGACAGAGAATTACAGCAGCTCACTGCACATTCAGTTAGAAATTAAAGTAACTACAGGTCCTTCATTTACATTCTTGATTTTGTTAAGTTCACGCTGAAGCAAAAGGATATAACAAGAGTTTAACCTAAAAACCAATATGAACTGGGACAGGAACGACTGTTGAATAAGTAAATGAAGATGACTTTTTATGTCTTAGCTGTATTTTGTTTTAAACAGTTCTTCAATAAAATCTTTATTTTTAAGTTTATCAGCATGATTAAGTCCCAACTGCCTGTGTTGGGATTCTTCCTAGGCAGGGGGATCCTCCTATGGTTTTCTAAAATTTGCTGCTCAAATAGATCAGAACTGCAGAACAATGAGGAACAAAGGCAAAAACAAGGAACAGAGCAAGTTACACAACCCTGGCCTCTCTCTTTGCCTTCTGTTCATTCACAAGAGGCTTTTCATTCCAACACTTAACTACATGGAGCTTATTCTCCAGTGACCATTCAGGATTTGAGGTTCATATTCCCACTGCCCATTTACAAGGTTTATTTCTCCCAGTGGAGAACTTTATCTATGGTATGTGTTTAACTGCAGCAGCACCTTTAACTGCTCATTTTCCCTGGAACAGAGCAGAAAAATCAGTGTGAGGTGACTTCATACCAGGCACCAAGAGGAAAAAATGACAATAACTGTTTAACTGGTAGCAGAGAGTGCAGAAACTAAAGCACCAACACAATCCTTCCATTGTGTAGTGACAGGAGGGTGATGCCCAGCAAGAGGAATGCAAAGGTTCAGAAAATACAGCAAGTTCTCCATCTCTCCTTTCCAGTGCAGGTGCAAATCAAACTGGTTTTGAAGGATTATTTGCCAGCATCAATTGTAGGACAGTAAAGTTTGATTATCAAGTTGATTTCTTCCTGCTTTGCAAAGGAGCTGTAAATAACCAGGTGTTTGCCATTTCTATTGCCAATTCACTCTTTAGATTCATATTATGCTTAGAAAGCTGATTAAACTACAGGTAGAACAGTCAAGACCTTTGTTAACAAATCAAAAGAAATTATACACACGAAGGTCTGTCTGCCACACAGAGATGCACTGCTCAATACCCTTTTTCTGACAATAACCTGAATCCAGACACACAGGTTTTAAAACCCTTATTTAGCAACACTGTCATTTACCAGCACCTTCCTCCAAAGATTTAACTTGCAATGAACAAAACACAGTTTGCTCCAAGACATCAAATTTACCATTAAAAACTTCACAACTCCTAAATTCAACAGCAAATCCCAGACCCTTTCCCCAAATTAGAATAGCTGCTTCAGTAAATGGCTTCCAAAAATTACTGTCTTTAAAATGAAGAGGAACAATGCCAATAAAAATGTCCTAAACAGCACCTATTCTGCTTTTAAGGTCTACACAGTATCACACACCTCTCAATCCAGAGATCAACCTGTAGAGGTCGTATCCTCCTCATACAATTAGCATCACTTCTTGACAGATTTTCAATTATGCTCTAAAAGTACTGCACACTCATTTCTGTACCTAGATGAACCCTCTAACTCTAGGAAACATTCTGTGCTCTCGTGCATCACTCAGCTCTCAAAAAACCTCAACAGCCTGAAAAATACCAACATTTTCCAGAAGAAAATACAAGAAGCTGGATACCAAGATCAAGAGCAAGGAGCTCAGCATGTGCCTGTATGTGGCGAGGATGTGAGGGACACAGACAGCAAAATAAATGAGTCACAACCAGATTCTCTCATTTACCTCTACTTGGGTAAATGATCTCTAGAGTTCATTAAGTGTATTCAGTTTCTGTTACACCCAATGTGGTTTTGTGTTTGACCACAGTGTTGTATGTTCTTAGAAGGGAATTATAAAAAGCACTGTAAAAACACCTCCTTCAGTGATCTCACATGGAATCAGCTTCTTGCTTCACTCCTGCAAAAGCACAACTGGACTGAGAGAGCACAACATGAGAGAGTGCAAAGGAAAGTGCCATTACTGATGAGCTGTTGCTCAATTTTATTTAAATAAACCACATCACAGCCTCATGTCACTCAAAGAGCAATAGGCATTGTCTGACAATTATAATGCCACTGTAAAGACTTTAATTACTTGGGAGGGTTCCAACTTAAGCTCACAGTGCTGTGAAGTATCATAGTAACATAGATAAAAATGGCTTTTTTATCTAGAAGCCCAAATACCAGATTGCTGCATTTGAATTTATGAATGAAATGTCATTTCACCCGCTCCCAAGCTGAAGCAAAAATAAAGGAAGAGTTGAAAATACTACATAGATGTGAAATATTGTTCACTCTCAAAACCATCTGAAGGGGAGCTAAGAACTGGTGCCCATATTAGATCCCAATCTAGTTTAAGATCTTTACCTTAAAAGGAGTGACTCATAATAAAACAAAATTCCACACTGTACATAAGCTACTGGTGCAAAACCCAGGAGCTGTTCCTGAAGTATTTAAAATTTGAACACTAGAAGGTACAAACAGCAAGAAATTGATCTTTATAGCTCTCAGGAGCTGTGTAATTTTTGAAAAAATCTAAGAAGTGATGTAAACTGACTTAATAGAATGGAAAAAACAAAAAACCTAAACCATAAACCTGTAGCAACACAGGTGACAGAAAGAGAAATTATTATATAAATCCGCCCTTCTCTCCCACAGGATTACAGATGTACACTCATTTCAGAGATGATGTGAAAATATCCCTTTTTTATGTGAGACAATCCCAGGTATTTAGGAACAACCAATGAGCTGGAAAATACCCAGTTTTGTCTTGCTGTCACTCTACCTGTAGGGTGGCCTTCGTTTCTCCCCTGCATACTGAAAGAGATCATCAGTGAAGAATTTGGGGACTTTGTAGTCCTCCAGGAGTTTCCTTCGCTTGGGATGCTCTCCATAGCTGCTGTCAAAGATGTACAAGGGGCTGTCATCACGCGTGGTTTCCATGTACTCAATGTAATATTTCATCTTCATCTTCACAGAGTAACCATCATTGTCCTCACCACATTTGAACTTCTGGTTCCTGTACTTGCGTTTCAGCCGCTCCAGCGTCCACTTCTCCTGGGCAGACCAGCCCACCTGAGCGTTCAGCAACACCACGGGCTTGTAAGGCTTTTCATAACGCTCAACAAACTCCTCCACTGTTAACTGGAGCGCATCTGCCCTCTCCACGTTATCCTGTGAAACCAAGGGAGGAAAGCAGGACAGATATCAGGACGCCTGTGGGGGTGCTTCACACACATCCATTGCTCCACACACCACGAGGGTATGGAACTGCCTCTGTGTTATTTTAAGCTCCCCGAGGCTGCAGCCCCATTTCTCCTGGCCCGCTCCCTGCACACATCAGTGGCACTCGCCGCCTGAAAGCCTTTGGCACAGCTCCGCAGCGAGGCAGCTCCCCGGGCGGAGAGGCCACGCTGCCCTTTCGGCTGACACATCCCTTGCAGCATCTCCCTCCCTCGGGACACAGGGCAGCGCTCCTGGGAGCGACGCGGGTTCCATCCCGGCGGGCCCCGACCTTCCCACACGCCTCGCCACGTGGAGGGAGGAAAGTCCCCTCCCTCCCCAAACCTCAGCTCCGAGGCAACCCCAGCCTCGGGAAAAGGTTCGCGCTTCCCATCAGCCGTCCCGCAGCTCCCCCTTCACCTCAGCCATCCCCAATCCCCTCGGTCGCTCCTCCATCCCCATCTCCTCACGGCTCCCCAACCCCACTCGTGCCCCCACCCCACCTCCCCTCATCCCTGTCGGACTCGCTCACTCGCGCCCCCCTCCAGTCCTCATTCCCCCTCCTCCATTCCCCATTCCTCATGCCCCTCTCCGCCCCCAGCCCGACGCACCTTGCAGGCGGTGGGGCTGAGGGGGAAGGTCTCGCAGTAGTTGTGACGGGTCCAGTCCAGCGAGTCCTTCAGCTCGGGCCGGGCGCTGCGCTTCGCCTCACGGATCCGCTTCTTGCTCTTGTGGTTCATGGCGGCGGCGCTGGGGGCCGTCACGGCCCGCGGCCCCGATCCCAGCCCCGGCCCCGGCCCCGGCCCCGCTCCGGCCGCACCTTCCAGAAATTTCACCCCGTGCCGCCGCTGTCGCCGCGGCCCCGCCCCCGCCGCGCTCCCATTGGCCGGCTGCGCCCCGGCTTCCGCCACGCCTCGGCGCTGATTGGCCGAGGCCGGGGAAGCGGCGCCCCTGCGCCGCCATGTTGAGGAAGGGCAGCGCGAGCGGCGCGCAGGCAGCGCGGCCGCCCCGGGAGCTACGGGGGTGGAACTACGGTGGGGTGCTCCTCCACCGCCGCCGCTGCCGTTCCCGCGGCGGGCCCGCGCTTGCTGCTCCCATGACAGTGTCGGCCCGACCGCCTGGCACCCGGTTTCCTCCGTTCTCCGGGAAGCAGCCCGCGGAGGCGCTCACCCCGCCCCGCCGGAGCGGCGGCGCGGGCGGACGCGGCCCGACGCGGCCCGGCTTAACCGCGGCCCCGAGGGGAGCCCGCGGCGGGGCGAGCGGCTCAGCGCCATCAGTGCCCGCGGCGGCGCTCCGGTGACGTCACGCCGGGAGGAGGCGCCGATTGGCCGGCATGGCCTCCCGCCAATACGTGTCTGGCGGCGATTGGCCCGCGGCGGAGCCGCGGCGGCCGTGGGCGCGGCGGTACCGCTTCGAGGAGGGGCCGGCGGCGCTGGTCGTGGACGTGCTCGAGGTACCGGGGGCAGCCGGGCCACGGGGGTCAGCGGCAGCTCCCGGGACCCCGGCACAGCGCCTCGCCCGTGTCTTGCAGGTGCTGGACTCGCAGTACGGCCTGTACGTGTGGCCCTGCGCCGTGGTCCTGGCCCAGTACCTGTGGGCGCACAGGCGTAGCCTGCCCGGCAAGCGAGTGCTGGAGGTACCGCCCGCTCCCCGCCCGGTTCCCCCTCTCGGGACCCGCGGGTCTGGCTCCGCCCGCAGGCTCCACGAGCACGCTGTGCTTTCAGATCGGTGCCGGTGTGAGTCTCCCCGGCGTGGTGGCCGCCAGGTGCGGTGCCCAGGTGATCCTGTCGGACAGCGAGGAGCTGACCCAGTGCCTGCAGAGCTGCCGCAGCAGCTGCCTCCTGAACTGCCTGCCCTGCGTGCCCGTCCTCGGCCTCAGCTGGGGCCGCGTGTCGCCACAGCTGCTCTCTCTGGCACCCATAGACATTATTTTAGGCTCAGATGTCTTTTTTGACCCCAAAGGTATGTTAATGCTCTTGGGTATCTTTGGTTTGTGACTGCAAGGAGTTCGTGTCCAAGTACTGCTGGGAATAGTGTCAGTAGATCAGGTGACACTGTGCTACTGACCTTGTTATTCTGGGGTAATTCTAGTTTAGAGCTGTCATAAATACAGCTGAGGGTGTGGGAGTAGAAGATTAAGTAAATAACAGTCCCTTCCTACCATGCTTGGGTCTCTCTTACAGATACTCTGTGTGTGCATTAATTTGTAATTACCATTTCATACAACCAGGCAGATTTATCCACACCTGGTATTGAGACTAACCCAGACGACTGCTTTATCTCCCCAAACTATACAGACTTTGAAGATATTGTAACTACAATTTACTTCTTGTTGGAGAAGAACCCACATGCTCAATTCTGGACAACTTACCAAGTCCGGAGGTAAATTTTTACATATTTAAAACTTAAATCTTAACTACTGTCTCAGCTGTGGACAAGCTTTGACTCCTCTGTAGCAGCACCACTGACTCAAAAAAGCTATTTATTGTGAGTCAGGCTGCTATTTGCCCAGTAAACCCTACAGGTAACAAAATCTGAAAATAATCCAAGAACCACCAATTTGCTGTTAAGTAGAAAACTGATACAAACCCATCTGTGTTGTACTTGCTCGCTGAGAGGCTGCTGGAATTACTGTAGCAGTGATTACCCCGAGTTAGATTTTTATCCTTTTCCTCCCCTCAGTGCTGACTGGTCTATCGAGGCTCTGCTCTACAAATGGAACCTGAAGAGTATCCACGTTCCCCTGCATTCCTTTGGGGCAGACAAAGAGCACTTGGCCAGCTCCTCTATGCCAGGAAGACACACAATTGAAATGATGATCATCTCACTAGCACAGTCAGAGGGCACTTCACTTTATTCCACTTTAGATTTCAGTACAAGGTGATACTCAGCTGTTCACTGTAGCACAGAGCTGCAGAGAACAGTCCTGGTTACAGCAAACCTCACGGATATTTTGAGGAAGCAGCAATTCTTGAAACATGCATTGTAAAAATAAAGCTGTTTAGTTTTCCAGCTATGGCTTTCGAGAAATTTGTATTCCTCCCCCAAGTCCATGAAATAGTTCAGAACCTCAATTTCATCATGTGAGCCACAACAGTTTAACCTGGAAATCCACAAGATCCAACCTAAATCCACAGCTTCAACTATGAAAAGGTAACTGCACTCTTTTAAAATAATAAAAACTATTCCCACAAGATCTCTTTCCCAGGACTGAGAATCCTTCCCAAAGATCCACATACAAAAGCCAGCCCCTCTGTTGGGTAAATGAATGTGTGGAGACTGCACTAACCTAGAACATACAAACTCCTCAGTTTGTAGAAAAGTACTTTTAATCCTCCACAAAGCCATACTGCCAGTGTTCAGATGTTTCCATTCCCATTTAACATACATGCATAAGATAAAACAAGGCATTACAATAACCCTTGACACAGGATGTTTGAAGTTACAAGTCATTTGGTACCAAATCAAGAGAAATCATCACTGTAAAGATCAGCCCCTGTCAAGCAGCAGCCTGGTGAACCAGGGCAAGCACACAGCAATGCAATTATTAGTACTGCTCAGTGTGGACCTCCCACAACCCCATCCCAGGCTGGGTCTGTGTTGGTGGCCCGGTGTGTTACCACCTGCCACACAACACTGGGTTAGTTACAATACTAATTTAAAGTTTGCCCACAGTAATTTCAAAGCAACCCCAGTGGATAAAATTTATAAGCAGTAGAATGCATTTAGTTACTATATAGAAGTTAAACATTGACAGTATAATTGCAGAAATCTTTTCAAGCTAAAAATAAGCTGACCCAAGACATTAAGTTGAGAAAAGTTAACACAGAAAAAAATGTTTAATATTAACTACAGAGACAGTGGGTATAGTACAGAATGTCTTAAGCAAAAGATACACCAATCAGTACTTACAAAGGAATGAACCATTTCTTTGCTTAACATTACAATTCTCATATGCAAGTTCATATATGTAGTTGGTAAGTTTTACCATTCTGGAAAAAATAAGGTGTGTATATCATCAGCTAGATGTGCTCACTGTATGCTCCATTTTTTTTACGCAAGGCCCGGGTGACTGGAAGTGCAGTTGTCAGGCATTTTAATTAACTGGACAGCCATTTGTTTCTGCACGACAAGGCATCGTTACACAGGAGCAATCAGGAGACAACAGGAAACAGCCAAGCACTCTGCACTGCAACACGCCACCTTAACAGCTAACCAGCATTACTCAACTGCTACACAACTGCGCCTAGTGCACAAAAATACATAAGAGAAGAGATTAGAATTGAGTCTGATAAAACAATCCTTGCAAATATCAACTGTCACCTGAAAAGATTTCTACCAATTTGAATTTGATGATGCTATTTTAGGTCAAAGTTTTTTCTTTAAAAAAAAAAAAAAAAAGCATTTACAGTAAGTTTCAAGTTGAAGTTTTGCGGACTTTTAAGGAATCAAAATGAAATTGAGAGTACTTTTTGACAGTTAGTTATCAGCATATAATGGCTGCATGATTCCTCAGTATGAAACTGGAGGCAGCAAGTTTACCATCGATTTTAATTTCCAATAGAAGTCAGCACTACATAAACAAAAATGAAGTTTTACCTCAAATATCCAAGCCAATATTGAAATCGGTAGTCGTTCACTTCACTAAATTACAAGAAATTTGAATAACAGCAACAAAATGGCACATAAAATGTAAAATCTGCCACTTGAGGCGCAAATTAAACAAGTAAAAAGTTAGACAAAATGTTACAAAATAACCTTTTCAACAGCTGGTTGCTCGGCCAGGGTCTCTCCAATGGGCTGAAGACTCAAGCGATCTTTTCCCCCCAAAGGCGTCCTTTATCTGGGCTCTCATTTAGCTGAAGCATCTAGGTTTGAAGAGAGAAAAGTTCAGCCAGGTTTCTACCTTGTCTATTTTGGGTGTGGATGACTTCATGGATACTTCTAGTTGTGTTTCAACTGGCTTTGACTAATTTAATTAAGTTTTAGGAATTTCCAGTGTTCCACCTCCCCCCGTGTGCTGCTTTACTTCAGAGGCTAAATGTAAGGTTTGGTCAAAATATTTAGTTACAAAGGAGAATAAGCAGCAGGCTGTAGATCAAGCCAGACATTAACTTCACTTCAGCCTGTTCACCACTCAATTATTCAGAGTTCTATAAAAGTTACAAAACTAATACTTCTCCATAAAGACTTAACTAAGCTCTAATTAGCCTTCAAAACTGAAAATGTGACTAATTTTGCTACAATTATCTATATCCAGAGCTAGCTCAGGCCCTTTCCTTTTAAAAAACAGGACCAAACAGTTTGAAGGGTTAAAGACACACTATCCTTTCCCCACCCAGCGTATCCTTAGATGCCTCTTCAAGATGTCGACTTGAGGAAAAACTAGTTTCCGTGGTTTTCTTGTTGCAAGGAATTTACCACTTTTCTAGGACAGTTATTACCTCCAGTCAGTACAACGGCCACTGAACCGATCTTCCGTTCTAAAAGGATAGTGTATCTTTAACAGTGTAAGACAAACCTGCTCCAACACACGCCCACAGAAACTGGTCCCTGGAGGATCAGCCAAATCAGTTAAAATCTGCAATACTGGCCAATATTCTTTTAGCAAACAGGAGACCGCAGCTTTAAAGGGGAAAATGCAGATGTTGGATAAATACAGTAAGAAATAGTCATTTTCATCATAGGTTGTGTCTCATACAATATTTTATTAAAACCAAGGCATTAATCTCGCAATAAAACATTTTCTCTGTTTAAAAAAAAATTTCTCCGTAGAAAACCCTTCAGTAATTATTTCCCTAAATCAATAACAAAAAAGTCACTGCTCAAGAAAAAAAAAACCAAAACCAACAACTAACAATGTGCCCCACTAGGATTCACTTGGTTCAGGCTATTAACGCTCCAAGAACTACCCAACACCCCACCTAAGTGCTCTAATAAAGTAACATGCATCCTGTGCTGATCCCAAGGTACATTACCATGTTCCTAGGAGGATACAGCTCCTTCTTCTTCCGGAGACTTGGGAGGGCTCTTAGACCTGGATCTAGAGTTGGATTCCCTCTTTGAGGCAGGGGGAGGGCTTCTAGATCTGGACCGGGATCTTGACCTGGAGCGGGATCTGGAGACAGATGAGGACTTTGACTTGGATCTCCTGGCAGACCTGGACTTGGAGGTGGAGCGAGACCGAGAGCGTGTGCGAGACCGGGATTTAGATCGACTGTAGCGGGACCGACTGCGGGACCTAGAGCGGCTCCTGCTTCTAGATCGGCTGCGACGGCGTCTTCTAGGGCTAAAACATACCAGAAGGAAAAAAAAAAAAGGGCGCGTTAGAAGTTGCTCACGGGTGACGCACGGAGTGGAGCGAGTGCTGCGGGACAGGGAAGGCGGAACAGGACGCACGTGGGCAAGAAAATGAGTGTTACCAGGGCGCCATTGTTCAGAGCGAGTGGCCGGGGGCTAAACCTACTACAGGGCGAACCATTCTACTCCGATGGAACCCCACGTGCCTGTGCTAGTAAACCTCCAGTAAACCCCCACACTTCCTCTTCTATGTACTTTCCCCCCGCGGCGAAACTCGCTGGGAAAAGGACATCCCAGAATCGGTCCGGTTGGAAGGGGCAACAGCGGGTCATCCGCTCCAACCCCCCTGCCTAAGCAGGATCGGCCTAGAGCACATGGCTCAACTCTGCGTCCCTACCGCCCAGTGCCGGAGCCTCGCTACCTCCCTAGGCAACCAACACGAAAACAAACGGCTCCCAGCGCACAGCTCGCTTCATCCCGCTTGCCGCCCCAACTCCGTTCGCCGTTCCGCGGCGCTCACCTGCGGCTGCGGCGGCCGTAGCCGCTGCTGCTGTAGCGGCGGGGCGGCGGCCCGCGGCGGCTGTGGTGCGAGTCGGGCGGGCGGCCGTAGCGGGCCATCTGCACGCGGAGCTCCCGCCCGTCCAGCACCGCCCCGTCCATCGCGTCCATCGCGTCCTCCGCGTCCCGCTTGTCGTGGAAGCGCACGAAGGCGAAGCCGCGGCTCTCCTTGGTGTAGCGGTCCCGGGGGATGTAAACGTCGCCCACGCGGCCGTACTTCTCAAAGACTCTCCGGAGGGTATCCGGGGAGGTGCGGTAGGTCAGGTTGTCCACCTTGAGGGACGTCATGCCCTCCACATCGGGCGGCGGGCGGCCGTAACTCATGGCGGGCAGGAGCCCCAGAGGGGCGGCGGCGGCCGACGAGAATAAACCTGAGGGGGTTCAAGGGGGTCAGCAGGCGGCGCGGCCCTGAGGGCGACGCGCCTCACGCCGCAGGGCGAGTCCAAAGAGGAGGAGAGCTAGAGCGCATAGGGGAAAGCGGCGGGGTCAGCAGGGAGCAGCACCCACCTCAGGGTCCGAGGGGCGGCCCGAGGCCGGAGCTGAGCGCCAGGAGCGGCCGCCCCGTCCCGCCGCGGCGAGGAAATGAGAGGGAACCGCCCGCGCGCGCGGCTTAACGCCACAAAATGGCCGGCGGCGCCCCGGAAGGAAACGCGGCACCGCCCCGCCCGCGCCTCCGCGGCAGCGACCCCCCGTCCCTTTTAACTACTTTTTCCCGAGGTGGTCCCGGAGCGAGCGTGGGGAATCCCTCTCTAAATTAATAATTCGCCCTGTGGTTGGAAAGTGGCTGTTAAAACGCCGCCGCCGTGACCCGGAAGGGCTCGGGGGAGGCGGGGAAATTTTTGAACAATGTGTGTTGAAAACCGTAAAAAAACCACGCCAAAATAGCAATAGCAATAAGAAGAAAATAAATTAGGGCAGAGCTGGGGGGGCGGGAGACGGGCGACAAAACCTCGCCGCGGGAAAAAATAGGCGATGGTGAAGTGAATGGCTTGTGGCGCGGGCGGGCGGGGATGGTTTAAAATGGCGGACG